CCGTAGTCGGCCCACTTGTTGACGATGACTGACACCCCTTGTCCCATGCAGCCGCCGTCGCACTTGACGACGCGCACCTCGCGGCCGAGGCGCGACCCCTCGTCGCGCTTGATGAATTGCCGCCGCGCGAGCCGCACGACCTTCTTGCACCGCCGGCACTTCTCGCCGTTCGACTGCGGCGGCGGGCACGCGCGCGTCGCCGCGGGCAGCGACCACCAGAGTTCGATGAACTCGTAGGGCGACTGCCGTGCGCCGATGCGCTTCGCCCATTTCTCGCCGTTGTCGCAGAGCCGGCCGGCGGCCTGCAGCGCCTGCTCGCGCGCCGCGACGCTCCGCGACGCCGCGTGGTAGGCCGTGCCCGCGAGCTTCGCCGTGCCGTCGGTCGAGGCCGCCGGCGCGGCCTTGGCCTTGCCCATGGTGTGGTGCGCTAGGCAGCGGACGAGCACGAAGGCGCGAGGCGCGGAGCGGGCAGCGGCTCCAGACTGGTGTGGTGCGCTAGGCAGCGGACGAGCACGAAGGCGCGAGGCGCGGAGCCGGCAGCGCGGACGAGCACGAGGCGCGAGGCGCGGAGCGGGCGGCGGCTCAGACTGCCGGCCTAGGCGGCTTCGGCGATTCATTGACCTGAAACCGCAGCATCAGCCGGAAGCGCGGTTGGGCTGCGCTATGATGGCAGCCCCAGTTCTCACGAGCTGAACCCCAAAGCATGCGCGCGTCCGCCAGCGCACCCGCGCTCCACGATGCGGGCAGCAAGCACGTCGACGGCCGCGCGCGGCGCGGCTCCGTGGGCCTCGCCGGCGGCGCCGCGCCCGGCCGCGCCCGGCGCGGGTCCGTGGGCCTCGCCGGCGCGCCGACGGCGGGCCACGCGCGGCGCGGCAGCATCGGCGTCCCCGGCGCGTCGGAGGGCGAGGGCCGGCGCCAGTCCGTGGTCACGGGCGTCGACGACCCGTCCGGCGCGCTGCGCGCCGCGGCCAAGATCGGCACGCGGCGCAAGTCCGTCGTCGAGGACTCGGGCGCGCTCGCGGCGGCGCGCCAGCTCGGCGAGGAGCGCGGCGTCGGCACGGCGCGGACCTTCGGCACCTTCTCGCGCGGCGGCCGCTACGGCAAGGGCGGCTGGGGCGCGGAGGCCGTCGCCGCGGAGCCGCTCGGGGTCCTCGACGCGCTTTTCCAGCTCAAGGCGCCCGTGACCGACGAGTTCTTCGCCGAGCCCGCGGCGCGCCGGACGCTGCG